ATCAAAAGCTGTGATATACTCTGGATAGATATAAATAGGTATTCAATATTAAATATATATTAACAACTACAAACAAAATAGGTATTATTATATATCACCAAACTACAACTACCCCCAAAATATTTCATTAGAAACAATTTCAATATTATACACAAAACATAGCAATCTAGATCGGAAAACCTTTACAAAGGGAATGAATTAACAACTTGAATAAACCTAACTAAACTAGAATACATTGAAGAAAAAAAATATCTATCTATACAAAAAGAAATATACTTAATTTTTCATTCTTCAATATACCCTTTACAGAAACCAGAGTCTGATATAATCTTTATAATAGCTCGGATTATTATATTTTAATAACAATAATATCTAACAAAGAAATCAAGCCTTTAAATCAATATAATATCTATATCCCGGAAACAGAACTATTGTGATTAGCAGAACTAATAACAAACAAAATAGTATACTTGCCCACAAACAATACCTTTAATACCCCAGAAAGGATAAATGACTTCGCTAACCAACTCACTCAAATCATCAAATAAACAATAACTGTAGTAGAAACTATGGACAAAGAAAAAGGCAAGGCAATATTCTAGTAGATAGTGGAATACAAAAAGTCCTATACCGAATACCTGAGCAGACAAGCCACACCAGAGAACCCCTTCACCACGGCAACCAAAAAATTCAAAACAATGGTCAAAGTAGTCAAACGCGATTATTGGAGATATGTCATAGATGATATCTCTAGTAACAAGGATCTATACAAAATAGTCGGCTGGTACAAGTTTGCTTTGAACCTCAAGAGCTCTTTAATCATCTTGAATGGAGTAATAATAAAAAAAGTAATAAAAAAAGCTGAAGTATTCAGAACAAAGATCCTGGACTGCTTCAGTGTGGAAGATAATCTGGAATATAATCTATTGGGAGATTAATGGAAAGGAAGTGGGTATTTACTCTGGAATTCCTGGTTTACATTGGAAGAAGTCGAAATAAACGTTATTGGAGTATTTAGTATATTCTCAGGAACTAATCAAGTTATAGTCAAAATCCTTAAGACCTGCTGGAACTATTTCAAAGATTTATTATAATAGCTTTATTAGAAATACTTTGAATATAGTTATTTCCCAAAAACCTGGAAGTTAGCCAAAATAGCTATATTATCCAAAATCAGGAAAAAGGATATAATATCCACAAGATCATAAAGATCTATTACCTTGCTTTTCTGTATAGGAAAAGATTTGAAAAGAATAATTGCCAAAAGATTAGGCTGGATAGCCCTAAAGCATAGCATTATCAGCCTCTAATACAACAAAGCTTTGCCCAAATACTTTACAATGGACCTGGTAGTATTCTTTATATATGATATAGAAACAGTACTAACTACCAGGAAGAAAATAATTATAATTATTATAGATATACAAAGTATCTTCGATATATTACTCAAAAAACAATTCCTTGCTAGAATAACAAAACAAGGCTGGTTTAAGGACTTACTTTTACTAGTTGACTTTTTCCTAACAAAAAGGAAAGTCAGAGTATAGCTAGAGCAAGCTACAATTAGAGAATACCTAGTAGTCTATAAAACCCTTCAAGGTTCTCCCTTATCACTAATTCTGTATATACTATATTTAACGAAACTATTTTCAAAAGACATCTTCTTCAGATTCGGGTATATAAACGATATATGTTTATATAGAATATCCAAAACCCTGGAGAAAAAACATTAAATATTTCATTACAGATGTACAAGATATTATAAAGTAGGGAATAAATAATTGTGTTGTTTTTGCTCTGGAGAAGCTGGAAATGATCTATATTTCTATAAATAATGGCAATGCAGCACCTGTTATCAGAATGAGTGAAGAACTTATGATATACCTGATAATAACTATAGAAACAAATATCTGTTTAGTATTGAAATAACTAGGAATATAGTTCGATAGAAAGCTGAATTTTCGTAGACATATTATTGAATACATAAATAAAATCAGGATAATAGCAAAGTATATACAAAATCTGGCTAAAGTTATACAAAATCCCCCAGTATATATTATATGTAAGATAATAACTATATATATACTTCCTTTATTTTTATATAGGACTGAAACCTGGTATAAAGGTAGATTCAAGGCTATGTGAAAACTAAAACTAGGATAAACAAAGATTAGTGCCTGTCTCGGCTGGTATGTGATACAAATCGAAAAGGTTTTCACAATGGTAACATAAGGAGTCATACCGGCCTGGAAAATTATACTGATAACTGCTTTTTACCATGAAATAGGTTTCCCCTCAGCTATGGTAGCTCTCGAAAAAGCCAAATTGAGGTTTGCTCTATGTCTCCAAAGCGTAGATGCAACCTATCTGTTTACGAAAAGAATCGAATCCCTTATAATCGTTAAAGGATAGGATATAGGCAAAAGACAAAAAACGAAAACCAAAATCCAACGATTTAATCTTTTTATCCCTTTAATCCTAAGATTTATACTCAAGCTACTATGGTATATATCTAATTACCGAATAAACCCAATGGAAGGGCTTGATAAGAAAACGGCTATAAAAGCCTTTAACACCTGGTGGGAAAACCTGTCAGACACAGATATCACTATCTTTTCGGATAAATCGGAAAACTATATAAAAGGAAAACATATTGTAAATTATAGGTATATAATATATCTAGGCAAGAACCAGATATTGATAGGTTTTGGTTTTATTAATATCTAATTCCATGTCTTCGATATAAAAGCTATTAAAGTATGGAAAGGCCTGGAACATATTTTCAAGGATGTCAGATACATTAATCAGAAAATCTGGATATATATCGACAACATTTCGGTTATCTGGGGCATAAAGGCTAATACCTTTATATCATTATAATAGATATTCAACAATTACTATAGAGTTATGAAAAACAATAATATTCGTATCAAATGATTATTAGGGCATAAAAATATCGAAGGAAACGAAGCAATTGATTATCTCGCTGATCTTGATACTAAGAAACCCAGTTGGGATATTGGATCAGTATTCTAATCTATTTATAGTAGGATAAAATCGATTATATATATCCTAAAAAAAAAGGCCCACCAACAATAGTGGATATCATACAAACCCATCTTCTTGTTATGATATAAACAATAGAATCCGGTATATAAAGTTAAACTACTACCAAAGCTTTTATTTTTACAAATAGTTTTATACAGATTGATAGCTATCTAAACCTTATATAGAGATTTCGGATGGTATCATAGGAAATTCGGGTATACAGGAGATACGGAATGTATCTGTGGAAAGCCCAAAACCCCTGTCTACCTGATCTATTGCTGGAAAGCAAAAGGTATATTTGAACAATGATCAAATAAGCCCCTCACATTACTATTGATAAATGAGGAAGATATTCAATATCTATATCAAATCTTAAACAACCCTACAGATTTTGCAAAACTGTTAAAGCTTACAAAGTTCTATAAAGATATATATTCAAAGTAGAGGGCTGCAAGTCTGTATTCTATAAACAAACAATTTAAATCTTGCGATAATACATATTTACTACCAGAATCGATTTGTAATGTACAATACAAACGAAGCCACCAAACTTCCTCTACAGAGCCTATACAGAGAAACAACATTATCAATAGGTATAAAAAACCTGATTGAATATTAACAAGATATACAAAAACATATCTGAGAATGCTTTCTGGAGTATAACAAATATTCTAATTGTTATATTAGAAATAGTTTATTGAATTACTGAAATTCATGTAATAGCAGGTCTATGAAACAGGTATAATTGTTTATATCAGACAAAATAATAGAATTACTTCAATCAGTGGAGGAGAGAATATACAAATTGGAAGGTAACATATGATTACTGGGAATGGCTGTAAGGCTTTCACTTTTCTTTCTAAGGCACTTTCATTTCATATATTGTAAAACCATAGCTTAAAACATTTGTATACCCCTAGGGAGGTTCTGAGAGCAGCCATAAGCTGCTCTCCTGATGTAAAATAATACTACTACTACTACTACTACTTCCTATGATTTCACACCTACCTTCACTCTTTTACAATAGATATAAATTTATAATAAATTTGATTAATGAAAGGGGAGGAATATAATATAAAGCCTAGGTAGACAGGTTTATTCTATATAATATGACTTTTTTATTATCATTATATATACTATAACCATTATATTATTATTATATTATAAAGGTTTAAAAAGTTTTTTGATAACATAGAACCATACACTGTTATCCAATTGAATAAACAGATAAATATTACCGTCCTAACCAGTTAAT